AATTTACGCGTCGAGAAATATTAAATATCTTGTTAAAGAGTTAATTTCAGTAATTTACCTTTGCTCTAATCGCGTTCAACGTAAAATTTTGGTTAAGAAACATGCACCAGAATGCTTTAATTCGTACCTTGCCTACGTCTACTGATCCATTCAATTGCACACACGTGTTTCCGACGCATGTTACCGAAAAACTCGGCGCTGTGCATTTCGGCGTCTCGTCGCGTTAAACTGAAAAGGAAGTCAGGAGCACCTGCAATTTTTTACTTGTAAATCGAAACACCGATCTCTAATTTCCACACAGCAAATTCATGTCTAGGGAAATCTTTTGAAAAGATTGCCGAACATTGGAGGCTGTGGTTTATTTTCTCCCTCCTTCACAGTTTCGATCGAGAGAGGCATTATCATTGCAAAATTTACTGTTCAGAATGAGGATAAACATTGTGTGTTTAAAAAGAGGGTGCGCCAACAGAATAACATGAGGCGAGGATAGACTAAAAAGAATTAAGGATCGGGGTGGGGGATATAGGACACTCTGAGAAGAGAAAAACAACACGAAAAAGGGAAACTGGTTTAGCCAGCAAGCTAACATAAAATGTAGACAAAACTTGTCCTTGTACAGTAAGTCTTATGAAGCTGATCTGTATATGAGTAAGTCTATTGAAGCTGATTCATCAGTGAACATATCTGCACGGGGAAAAAAGTGTCAGGAGTTATCCCTTAAAATCGTGGTACCACTCCTATTTGCTGGATGATATGGACATATCCAACTAAATGTGGTAGTGCCATGATAGCTCAAGTTGGAGTAGTACCGCAACATTTGGGTTAATAACCCAACTTATTGAGGTACTACAAAAATTACTTGAGATAGTAACGTGATTTGGTGGGCTACTACCCCCGTTATTTAAGGTACTCCACTGGAAAAAACAGTCGATTGGATCCAGAGTCCAGACTCTTAATAAAAGTGACAAGAAAAAAATACTCTTGATTCAATCCGATTTTTCCTTGAATCGAAAGAGCCCAGCCTCTTGATTCAAGCGGATTTCTATTTGATTTGGGCGAAAAATCCGATTGGATCAAGAGTATTTTTTCTTGTCGATATTTTTAAGAGTCTGAACTCTAGATCCAAGCGACTTTTTTTCCTGTGTTTACTTTTATTTGTGTAATTTGAAACGTCCAAATCATCCAACAACCCCGTGCTCTTTTTTCCGTGTAACTTTATACTTGCAACGTTAAACAGAGAAAAGAGACCAACACGGAATAGCAGAACTAAGATTCCTCTACAGTAATTTTATCAAAACTGCGTTCGATGATCGAAAAGAGGGTTAAAATCTGGCTCATAAATACGCGTGCCGCGTATAGAAAAATTGAAAACCCAACCAAAATTCGAGCAGACGCTCCATTTTTTAGAGCTTGACGCGGCGCGGCGCTTGGATACGACTATGCTAGAAGACGGTCCCAGCGCAAATCGCCTTCAAATGACGAGGTAGGCAACACGGGCTCCCTCACGTTAAAATAGTGGTATTGTGCCCCTGTGTTTCTAGACCAGGCAGCCAAGTAAAAATAGCTCCTCTCCTTAGGGCCATGCAAGCAAGTGAAAATATTTCCTGTTCCCACAGAAATCAGCAGTTAGGACTTTATGATGTCAATCCTAACACTGACCATCTAATGGCCATCCAAGAGCCTTCTATACTTTACTGACTTCGTAGCTATCTTCGCACATACTTGAAAGTGAATTCGTTGCCTTTGCTGAGGACGTTTTTTTTTGGTCCCGCTTTCAACGATTGGTCATCACAGCAGTGGGAGAAAGCTCCTTCCGCAAGTTTCCGACTACTTTCGCTGCAGCTCTTGTGGTAGCAATGTATTCACCCAACTTAGGTTCTCACAATGGTAGGTGAATTTGTGATTTTTAAGGATTCGAAAATTCTAAAGAATTAAATTAAAAATCAGAAATTTTAAAAAAGCTAAAAACGAAAAAGGATACATTTATGAACATTAAAAATAAAAAAAATCGTTGGTTTAAATGGTAATAGTGGAATTTCTAAAAACCCTAGTCATCGCCAATGATTCGACGATTCTGCAGCATCCTGGTGAATATTACAGTTATACTGAGTTGTACCAAACTTGAGGCAAGGCTGCACTGAAAAAAAGTAGCTTGGATTAAGCATGATGATTCTTGAATTTGCCGCCAAGAAATTTTGTTTTCTTGCTTTAAGCTGACTTTTTCTTGATACAGGCAAAATAATGCTTGGGTTAAGCCAAAAAGTAGCTTATATTAACCAGAAAAATTCTTGATTCAAGAAGGAATACTTCTTGGCGGCAAATTTAAGATTCTTTTTTTTCCAGTGTGATGTAGGTGAATTCTGAACGCATTCGGCAGCGCTGAGGACAGATAGGCGTATTTTATCAGTCGGCGAGGTGGCGCGGCGGGTTGTCGTGTGCGCTCGGATTTGATGCTGAATAAATATCCAGTGTTTGGAGAATCGGGTGGCCGCCGAGCCGGGCGACTCCTTTGCGAGAGTCAGTCGCCGAGTTCCTGTTTTATGACTCGGGCGCCTCGACGCGGAACCCGGGACCCGGGCTCCAGTGCTCCCCGGGTGACGTTTTTCGCTCCAGCTTTTTTCCTCGGCTTCCACGCCTTTCCCCTGTTCCGATTGATTGGACTCCTTTTTATTGACACTCGCTCGGACCCGCTCCCAGCGCACAGGGGCCAGCGCTCCTCCTGGATCTCGTTCCCGGACCATGAATCTCTTCCATATTCCATATTTTAACCAGGGTCTCATGGACGTAGCCAGAGAGATGTACTCGGGGGTGGTCTGTCCTAGAGTCCCTTTATACTGAGAGTCAAGACAATGCGAATCCATTTCTGATCGGTTAACCGGATTTTAGGCCTTCACAGTGTCACAAACGGGAATAAAGATTACATTTTCACCGATTGCAAAGATTATAATCTGGAATGGACCGAGGAATTTCGGGTTCGACAAGGAACAAACGGAATGAGAGAAGGAACCGAGAAAGGAATTTGAGAATGGGCCGATCAAAGATTACGAAAAACGTTCAATTTGTGTAATCTTTATTCCCGTTTGTGACTCCGTGAGGGGTGTTGTCTTGACTCTCAGTATAAAGGGACTCTAGTCTGTCCCTCACTTTACTGCGAGGGTAGCTTTCGCCTTCATACCGTTCGTTCATGCTGCCGTGCTGAGGAAAAACGCCGTGCGAGCCTTCAGACGATGCCAAGTTTCCTTTAATAAGATGTAAATTTGCTGGGAAATTTTGAAATGTTTTTCTTCCGATTTTTCAGGAAATTTTGTTCGTAATTTAATATGAAGTATCTGAGAATTTCAATGAGAAATATTCATAACTTTCCCCAAAAATACATATTTATTCCGGGGATAGACAACTCTCGAGTGTTCATACGGCGTTCTTCCTTGGCGCTGCAGCATAGGGGGGAAGAGGCCGAGACCGGCTGGCCAGTCTCCCTCCCCCCCCCCCCCNNNNCCGAATTGAAGTACACCCTGAAATTCCTTGAATTTCGAGATAAATCTTGCCCAACTCTCCTTGGAGTGGTTTATCCGCACCTTATCTGGTCGGGCAAATAGCAATTTTAAAGAAAAATGTGAGTTTTCGTGATTCCTTTCGCTCGGAAACCAAGGTTTTTATCAATTTAAGGATAGAAGGAATTCACTTCCACCAATGCCGATATGCGATAGGGAAGGGAAGTTACACATTGAAGTGAAGAAGTAATTTCAAATTAAATTCAAGTTGATTAGTAATGATTGGACGAGTCAATCATGTACCAATTAAGATGATTTCCGATCAACACATGCCAGTTTCAACGTATTTCCGTAGATTCAGACGATACAGAACAAATCTGTCCTTTGATACAGAACATACAGTAATATTTCTGACACCTTCGCAATCAGAAACATCGGGAAGAACTTCTTACGCAAACGCTACCTTGATAAAAAAAACTCCGGCTCCAGGAGTCGCAATTACGGGCTATATAGCTTTACTGTGCGTTGCGAGTGAGGAAACCGTAAGTTCCGCACTCAGGAGCCAGAGCATCGGCCACTGAGCCGGGAGCTCCTTTTTGCTACGGGTTTAGAGACTGTTGCTACGGCTGCTGATTGGGGGACTTACGGTCTCCTCACCCGCAACGCACGGTAGTATTATATAGCCCGTAATTACGGCTCCTGGAGCCGAAGTTTTTTTTTTTTTTTTTTCTTTCTTTTTGAGTGTTTGTGAATTACCCAGCATACTTTGCTACCAGACTCAGAAACGGCACTGTTTCCTCCATTACTTAAAATGGAATTTAAGTTGTACCGATTTTAAGTAAGTGAAACAGATCCACTGGTTGAGAAGCGCAGAATTCTTGAGGATTCTCTTTCCTATCTGAGAGTGATTTTCAACCGTTAGTAATGAGACTCAGGAGCCGGCTCTGGGGATTGTTGCAGAAGGCATCGGATTCTCGAGAGCTGTCGGGAGCAGCCACGATTGTCGACAAAGCCACTCTCCAGGTCCACAATATCCGCCCGTTGTTTTACAAGTGTCACTAACGGGATCCTATTAAAGCGTTGTTACTATCGAACTCCATCGCGGAGGGCGGATAAGGATACGGGCCTGAAACCGCAACGGACGGCCGGCGGACCCCGATTCCTCGGGGTCCAAAAGCCCGCCCGTTAAAAAGGATTTTGTGAATATAAGAATGGTCCCACCTCTAAAGGCGCTGATCAGGATTCTCACGCGTGTGCTATTCATAGGCAAACTGGAGCCAGTAAAAAAAAAGAAGAAACCCCCGTGGAGATTTTTGCGTTGAGAGCTCATCGTCGCGTAGAGATGAAATCTCTAGGTAGACGGTACCGAGGTTCCCATTGTCGGCTCCCGCTGAGAGATTTTTCGCGATTGGAGCCAAAATCGAATTGGAATACACACCCGCCCCCCCCCCAATATATAGAAAGGGGTGGCTACTAATTATTGTTTAGAGATGGATTGTGAGATGTGAGTGTATTTCCATTTCTAGAAATGTTGATCAGCATTTTCACGCATGCAGCTCCGCAATACATTCTGATTTTTCCTTTTGTTCCAGAGTTAAAGAAATCCCCATCACGAGCAATATAAAGAATGTGATCGTGCCGCAGGTGCGGGGCACCCACATGGTGGCTCAAGCCCCCGAAGATGCGATACAAATAATGTTCCTCAGCATATCTGGCAAAATCACATCAATTAACCGAACCATTGACCAAGGGTTTCCGGACAGATATCTTCCTCACATCCAAGCGATCCTCGCCAAAAGCTCCGAAGGGGACCTATGGGCTGATGAAAAACGCATGTATGCGATCCAATCAAAGCCAGATAAGGAGAAGCTCAAGCGTGTAAGTATTATTTCCCGAATCCAGAAAAACGATACCCTAACCTCCCCACCCCTGATAACGCAAAAATTAACCGTGAAAGTATTATTTTCCAAAGAATGAAACCCATAGCCTTATCTCCCCCAACCTGATAAAGAAAAGTTTAACCGTGCAAGTATTATTTTCCGGTGAATGCACCCCACAGCCTATATCCCGAAGGGCGCCTTTCCCGCAACACAGTAACACCTCACGAGGAAAACCCCTATCTTCTCCACCAACAAATAACGTGGCCCATATTATCACGTACGAGAGTATAAGCCAGCGGCGATACCCTCACCTTAAGGCCCCCCCCCCCCCCCCCAAGCGAGCCTACGTCAAAAAAAGCATCACTCTCAGCCAGATTCTTACGTGGGATTTCTATGCACAATCAGCAGAAGAGATACAAGGTGAACTTCGCCGCGCACAAACAAAATTAACATTATCATTTGGATTTCTAATAGCAACTTGCAAACCCAGCCCCCGACCTCGTCAGCGGCGATTTGTTACGATGAAACGCCAGCCCCTCCTAAAACAGAAATACCCCTCCTCGTGTACATAAGCACTTTGTATTTTTGTTTCAGAATGTGCAACAAGTTATAACGTATTTGGACGCCAACATTAACATTAAGCTGCATTTTTCACGACTTCATAGCATGTACCAAAGAGACCGTCAAAAACCTGTGATACATACACGGCTTTAAAATACTAGCAACAGCCACATTGGTAATCTGGTTGCGAGATGGTTTCAAGATGGCAAAGAGGGGTGGGTCAATTTGTAGTCTCTAGCCACACAAACACTTTGTGACATTATCGCGATAGCCACAGCATTGTCGCAACCACAATGGTAACATCCTAAGAAGACCCTCGTGGTTTTTGCCGGTATACAAATGATTTCTTGGCAGATTTTCCCGAACCACCAAAACTGTACGTCCCACAAGGAGACAGCCAATTTTTGGTTACTGTGTTAATTTCTAATTATCGCAGCCGTGACAATGGTAACATCCTATGGAGACTCTCGCCCATACTCAAACCGGTCACGGTGATAAACATCGAATGGAACACTTTTGACGAGGAAAGTGTGCTAACGTGCAGTGAGGGGTGCACTGAGTATGGGTGAGCGGGCCAAAATTTCTCTCCTTGTGTAAAACTTGACACAAAAGAGACAGAATACAACAATAAAAGTCGCTGTAAAACGCTTGTCGCGCTAATCAAATGTATAAACATAGTGCTCAGTACAACTGCACGTAAATTGCAGCTGCAAACTTCTTTAAAAAAGGAAAATAGTTTGAGGTTACGGAAAACTTTAAGCTGAACTTCTGACTCTCCGATGATTTCGAAAGCTCGTAAGAGCTTTCGTAATTCTTCTGAGGAACGTATGTATGGTTTTTTAATTACTAATTAGGTTTAAGTGACATTCGAATGTGTGAATAAGTTTATGTTCTTCGGTGTAATAAATAAAAGTTTGTAGTCCTATCTACCATTAGTTTTAAAGAATATTTTTTTAGAGGTTTTTTTTCCAATTCTTTTTTCTATCCACGTTTTTTTCGCTTGACCTCGATCGAGCCGCAGTCCAATACTGGCCGGGGGAATTTGGAAACAACGTCATAGCACCCGAAAAAAATTGGGCACATTAAACTCCGCACGGGTCATTCCTCATGTGCGCCGATCGCGATCGGCCCAAAACATATGTGCATGAAAGCCCCGGGAAATCTAGTATCAGCACCAGACCTTAGTGCGGCTACACGATCTGAGAGCTTATAAAGTTGTTATCCAACTGTGTAGCTCGCACAGGTTCAGGAGATGAGGGAATAATCTCAGGGATGATACAGAAAAAGACTATTCAGAAAAACTATCTGGGAGTGCTGTAAGTAAAATAGGTACTTAAAGACGTACCAAGAACACATGTTACTCTGTTTTTATTAGCAACTTTTATAATGTCAATCGTTACAGGTATGACACTGAAAAAACAGTTTGAATATGCGACAAAACATGATTAGGCTTACGGTTATAGGACATTCCGTCAACGATTTTTTGTCTGTGCACCTGTTTTTCCAATTGTTCACGTCCACGCGTTTTTTCGGTGGGAAAGTTTCCTTTACGTACCTAATAAGACCAGAAGTCAACTGGTCCACGTCTAAAAACAAAGTGCACATGGCCAAAAGTATTCGTCTCGGCTCAAAGCAGAGTCAGGTCTTCGAGGCCTCAACAAGGAAACCTCGGAAAAAGATCCGCCGTCGCTACTTGGGTACCGGATGAACTGCAGTGAGAAGCCTGGGTTCGGACACCATAAAGAAAAAGATGGAAAGAAATCGAAATTAAGAGAGAGAAACCAAAAATTTAAAAAATTAAAGGGGAAAGGAAATTTAGCAAAACTCGATTTCATGCTGCTCAGACCACGCACCACTACTTCGCTCTACTTCTTAAAAAGTCGGAACCCAAATAGCAGTGATCGCGATAAATATCGATTTTATCGGTTGGTTTTCACGATTATATTGGTAGCAATATATCAATATATTATCGCATTAAAAATTGCGATATATGGCGATTAAATCGCTACACATCGCAATTTTTGGTTCGATAAAATCGTGATCAATTTTCGTCGATAAATCGAAATTTAATCGCCATTTATCGCGATTTGTATTTCGAAAATATCGCGATAAATTGTCGGGCGATGAAAGCCCGATTTTATCGCGATAGATCGAAGATAAATGCTCAGATGCCGATGATCCTGGCGATTTTATTGCCGATAAAATCGCAATATATAGCCATTTTTCCGTTGAGAAATGCTACTTGGGAAGCGTGCTTCAAAATTTACAGAGATTTATTTAATTACCACCTTGAAGGTTTCCTTATGAATCGATAAAAAAAAAAAAATAGTGCTCGTATGAATAAGAAAATATGCTTACATAAAAAGAAAAGTCACTAACGTCGAGCAGAAACCCGCTTTCAATCCGCGATTTTATTCTTGATTCAAAATAAAATCTTCTTTACGGCATACTCAGGAATATCTCTGCCTAAATTGAGTCATTTTTTCTCCGATGAAATTCAAAAATTATGCCAAACGTTATTGAATACGGACGCGAGAACTTAGTGAGTTTTGTGACTACCGCTCTCTTTTTGTGCCGTAGTATCTTTATTTATTTTGCGAGGAAAGCTCTGTACTCTCAAAGAATGCCTGCCATAGTTGATACGTTGGAGCGCCTTCCATTTCGTATGATGCTGTACAACATCTTTGTGGCAAAATAGTTGCTTCAAGGGGCGTGGTACGCCGCCCCGCGGCGGCGGGCGAGTGTGACCAGCACGACACGCGCACTAGCGCCTACAAACCTAACAAGGATACTTCACGCATTGCGCACTGCGTGAAGTATCCCTGTTAGGTTTGTAGGCGCCAGTGCGCAACACGCGCTAGCAGCACAACGCTCCGACCCGTGTTCGGATCTAATATTTAAACTCGCAGAGTCAGCGTTTTTCAACTCATGATTTTGCAATGTTCGCACACTCTGCATGAATCTAAATCGATGGGTGAAAAAATATCTATTAAAGGAAAACATACTGAGTGTTTTGTAAATATTCAGATGATTCCGTGTCAAATTTAATGATTTCCAAAGCACTTTAAATTATTATTTTATATTTTGTGCTTTTACTGTGCTGCAGCGTGGTGTACGCGCAACCAAACGCTCAAAATAGGACGTATTTGATTCTGGTAGATCTACAAACAGTTAAAACCAAAGACTGTGTGTTTCTTTTTTTTTTCTTTGATTCATTTTTGTATATATGTAGGTCTTTTCAACACAACTACGGCTCGTTGAGATTAGTTCCCATTCTGTCGCTTCGAAAATTTTAAGGATAAAAATGAAACTAAATATTCACCAATGACAATTTGAAATGATGAATCAAAAGGAGAGAGTAACATTTCATCTACAAAATGAGTTATCGTAACAACACGTCCTTCTCTATCAATTTACTCATTTCAATAGTGTCATTATAATTTTACACACGGACTATAAAAAATGACGCTTGGACCAAGTCACTGATGCCAATTTTACACGAGGACTTGAACTGCTGGGCAAAACAGGTGCGCGGACAAAAAACAATTGACAAAATGTCCTGAAACCAAGCTTACACACGGTTACCGAGTTCTTGCGGGCGGAAGCCCTACTGCGACTGCAATTCAAGAAGTGCGTAGTTTTGAAGGAGTAGCAGTCATCATTAGGAGTGATAAATGGTACAACGCAAATGGTACAACAATCATAAATGCTCCGCGGTCGCGGAGTTGTCCCATACCAATATCTGGTGTACCATTTAAGGCCTAGATATACACGGCGATTGATCGCCGCGATTGAAAGACGAAAGCCAATGGAGAGCCTTGATTTCGACAAATCGACATCAATGGATCGAAATCAAGGCTCTCCATTGGCTTCCGTCTTCCAATCGCGGCGATCAATCGCCGTGTGTCTCGAGGCTTTTCCTGAGTACTTTCACTGTTTGTTCTGATTTTTTATCTTTAGGAGTGGTGCTATGTTTTTAGACGTGACCGTTAGACCGTTTGATTCACACTGTTCTGAGCATTTGTGAATATCTTGGACGAATAACTGCATTGCCGATGTCTCAACTGTCGTACATGGTAAACACTTGGGAAATAACCATGTCCTTGGGTTTACAACGACAGGCCGTATCGACAGGCTGAAACTAGCTTACATAGAAACAGATGCCTCACAAAAAACCCCTGAATTGAGTACATCACATCACTATCTACTAATAAGCTCCGTATCAAGTAGAAACCGTCTACGGTAAAAACCCTTCAATTCCTCGCGGGGTAACGAAAGTCCCCGGTTATTTCCGCATCGTGGCAAAGCTGGAGGCGGGGGAGTCAAGACCCGTAGTGGCTGCGGGTTCCTAACACTTCCAGCCGCAAATTAAAAGCACCTGTCTTCCCCGTTTCTCACTGTCCCTTGACCCGCCGCCGCCGCCTCCCGCGTGATCCCTGTCCCGCTAAGCTGCGACAGATTCGCGCTCACCCCCCCTCCCCCCGCCGGCCCTTCTGCCGCCCTCGCCTAATAAAAATGGTCCCTCACCGCGGATATTCGAGGCGCTTTCTGCGGGAACAGATCGGTCTTTTGAGAGCGCACCTGCACGTAAAATATGACTCGAGCGTCGAACTCGGGCACTCGCCCCGCTCGAAAATGAGAAAGTTGAAAAGTTGCCGTTGCTTCCGTGGAGGTGTACTTAGGGCGGATCTGCGGTTTCGCCACCGCGTCGATGAATTCATAATTTTTAAAATTCTGGGACCCTCTCAGAGGAAATGCTTCACCCGCGACGACATGCGATCACTCCTCTTTGGAATACGAGGTCATTCGAGGTAGCTGAGGAAGAACCGCACAAGTAAATACCACAATAGCTCCTTCTCTCTACAGAAAAGCTCAAGATAATAGCCAACGTCGCCCTTTCACTGTTCAACCCTTATTTTGTCAATGGACCACTAGACAAGGTACAAATTTCAGCATTCTGAAACATGTTTCTTGATCAAAATTTCACGTAGAACACGATGCGGACAACGAAAATTACCGAAAGCAACTCCTTACGATGATATTTAATGATTCTTGATGCGTGAATTCAAACCACCCGCTCATGAAAACTCAATGCTCTACGTGATTCACATCGCGCGCTAAACGTTATCATGACAGTCTCTGTTATATGAAAATCTGGCAATCTCAATCTTGACGCTTTGGCTCAGTTATAGGAAATTGCTCATAGTTTGAACAACACATGGTGGGAAATGAACATTGCTCGATTGAGAAGCTTGCTGAAGCCGTTGTAGTGCTTAATTTGACTCACGTAGAGCTTTGAGTTTCTTGTGAGCGGGCAGTTCAAATTCATCGTAACCAATGTGAAATAAAAACGTTAATATCTTCGTTAAGAGTTGGTTTCAGTACTGGTGGGTGTACTGTTGTGGG